CTATAGAATTTCTGAAAATCTGCTGCATTTTTAGGGGGTACACAATATCTGTTGCGGTATCCTAAATAGACTACAATTAGGATTGAAATTCAGAGCTCAAGATTCAAAAATTAACCTTGAAACAAAATGACATGAACAATATAAATTGTAACAAATTAAAGAATATTTAAAGTATTAAACCAAGGCAGTGTGCAACAAGCAACGTTCTTGCTCAGAGTCATTAAATTACATTTATATAACAAATAATTAAACGTACTTATACCTTAAGAATTGGAACATTTTGAAGCCATTTGAGACAAAATAAATGATCGATGACTCGATGAGTGTTGACATGTGTACAAGCTGGTGTTTCAATCATCTCAAATTACTTGTTAAATGGAAATCACACGTGCACTTGTTATCCTTGTTGTTCACACAAGCTGCGCCGAACATATTTTAATGTTTTTGACGGGAAAAATTGCGATTTTATTGATATTTTCAGCAAAAAGTTAGCTCTCCACTCCTCTTGAAAATACTATGGCGCGCGCGAATTCCCGGAGAATGGGTACGAAATAGTTAATTGGAAAATACTGTACTTTTACCATATTTTCTAATTAACTCAACTTGTGTGGCCAGAGCCACTCAACGATGGCTCTGGGTACGAGATTGCATGGCCAACAGGCTGGGCCCTCAAATCAAGTACCACAACAAGAGGTCGGTTCACCGACAATCAAATGCAATACTTAACCCATTGAGTCGCATTGCACCCTGATGCACCCTACTTTAGTATTTTACTCTGTCTAACACCAGACAATTTTACTCGTCAACGGGAGAGCGCTGGCGCTTAATGGGTTAACTGGCCTATCTGCCCATGTGTCTAGTTAACCCATTGAGTCGCATTGCACCCTGATGCACCCTACTTTAGTATTTTACTCTGTCTAACGCCAGACAATTTTACTCGTCAAGGGGAGAGCGCTGGCGCTTAATGGGTTAATGAGTAAATTTAGTATTGGATAACGCAGTAAAGGATAACGCAGTTTCAGTTGCCAAATCTATGATAACTGCAAGAGATAGTAACAGGCAAAGTCTTTTCTCAAGCGACAAATTTCTTACAAGTCAACAGATTTCGAGCTTCTTTTCCCGCATGGCCACCAAGCGCACGTTACAAATCGACCTTGGTGTCAATGACGAGCAAAGCATAGAACATGAACAATGATTTGAAGAATTGAGAAACAAAGTAATTGCAGAGGTTGTACCAAAGCATCTTTTTGCTACGATAACAATAATTTGTGTGAGCTGGTTAAGAAATCGAAGTTGTCCATCTTTTCAATTTCTATGCTGCGAAACGTATGTGAGCAGTTTGATATTCCCACGGCTCAGCTCACAGGCAAACAAAAGGCACCGTATATCAATAAACTTATTGAATTTGTACAAAATTGCAGCTGCCATGAATAACTATACATCATCAAGTTAGTATACAAACTTGATTTTATGCAAATTACCCGATCATTTACAAGTTTCCTTGGATTGAGAGTAAGTAACCTATGTTGGACAAATCTAAACTGTGTCGTAGGCGTTTTAAGCAAATTCGGACTGAGAGGTGGGTAGGACGAATACTTCTGCCTCAACTCTCTGTGTGATTGTTTATGAGAGCGAAAATGACCTTCCAAAGTGCGTTGCAAAGTTTGAACATTTAAAAATTGAGCATTTAAAACTTGAACTTGTCTACGTAATTGGGCTTTTCATAACGAACAAAGGAGGCGCACGTTGAAATCGACTATAACAAATTTCTAGACAGAGACTGAGCTAGAGACGATTAATTGACAACAAATTTCAAAATCCCTGGACATTTCTTGTGGTTACACACCACACACCAGTGACACCACTTCCCTTTTTATTTCCTATATAATCTCTCCTAACTGCACGAGATATTATTCATAACAATAATATACATTTCAGTATTATATGCAGTACGGCAAGCCATTGCCCGGTGATGTAAACAAACATGTAATTAACGCATACTTTCATTGCGAATTTCTCCAACTTCAGTTGCAGATTTCATTGCGACTGTGGAAAAACCCAAACAAATTTTTGCAGTCACTCTTAGTTTGTCGTGTACAGGTTGTACTACCTGATTTGCATGGAAATTGGAGAATGGCCACATGCAAAAAATCGATTTTATATATGTGAGGTAAATACACTATTAATGAGATTTTGAAAAACTATGTTGTCGTTCTGGCGCATTAAAAGGACTGCTGAGTCGCTGGCGCCACTATTTTCATGCATCAGTCTATAACAAAATTTGAAATGCAACATCTTTAAACATATTAATAATTATTTATACTAAATAACAACTACCCTGGTTCCAGAGATTTATTATAAAATTTCATTGTAAGTAATATTAGAAATGGCGAAGGTAATATTATATAAAATGAAAATAAACCTCTGGAACTAGGGTAAATAACACCAGAAATCATGTCTAATTTAAATGGGTAATTACTTAAGATATTCTTCATGTCATGCTTTAGACCAAACTAACCGTGTGAATTAATAAGCTGGGAAAAACGTTAATGATTTTTTGACGACAAGCCATTGCCCGGTGATGTAAACAAACTTGTAATTAACATACTTTCGTTGCGAATTTCTCCAACTTCAGTTGCAGAAACACTTTAATGAGTGTAAAATCCTAAACAAAGCAACCTATTGACACAGAGCAACACTGGAGTCTTGGCAACCATTTACCAGAACAATATAGATTTTTATTAAAAAAGAACAGATCATAGTCATAGCTTACTCATAATTGTAAAGCACAGCCCTAGTAGCTATAATATCGGTAGAGTAGTTTCATATTTAAGGTTACAGAACACCTTTGAGTGTTAATTTTGCCTAAAATTTTTTTATTGGTTTCAATGAAAGCATTAGACTAGTTCTACTATCAGAGCAAGTTTGAACGGAAAATGTTGAAAACTCGCAGAGTTATTTAATGAAATACATTTCGCTGCAATAAGAAAAACATTGAAAATGTAACATTCAAATTCAATTTTCTCCCGAAAATTTTTACGGTAATTACTGATTTTCAAACGAGTTGTGCTCCTGCGGGGTTTTAACCAATTTTTCTCAAATTTTCACAGGACATAGCTAAATACGTCAGTTTCAAAATTGTGTTCGGCTTTTTACTCATGCTAGGCCTTTGGCCGCAGGACGAGTATTAAATTCGGTAGCATTCTGTTTGTGTTCTTGGATGGACACAAACCGCAGGTACTTCGTGTAAGTCTAACAGAATGGCTTCAGTTAAATTTTGACCTAAATTATTCATAAATAACCATACATATATGCAAAAATTGATACCTAAATATCCCCAAAAGTGGTCAAAAGCAAGCTAAAAGCTACAAAACATGCTTGCATTACACCAAAAAGTACAAAATATTCGAGATTTTCAGGTCCAGTCTTTCATGATTTTTTATGCAAAATATTCAAATTTGCTTTATGCAGAGTAATGCTGAATTTGAGTGATATACATAATACAGTGAGCATATATAATTATATAAATATCTTCGTTTGTATTATGTGGGTAACGTTTATTATATTTGACCATTTGTGTAATAGACTAAATTTTGATCCAGACAAAACTTTCACCACAGCTTGAAAGAGCATCACAAAATTAGTAATATTCCAAAGTTTCATTGCAAAATATTGTAAAATGCGGATAATATAGCCTTGCGAAGTTTGCAATTTTCAGTCTTTTTAGATTACAAACATGAAATTGCCAGCCCTATACGCTTTGAGGCTGTCAATTTCCAGTTTGTAATAAAAAATGAGGGGCGGGGTAGTAAAAGAGCGAAATTGTCCCCTCCCCAGGAGAAAGGGTAATTAATCAATGTCCCCCGCATGTCTCTCAACCCCAGGAATATAGTTTTGTATATTGTATTTAAACTTTTTTTGTAAAGAAAACTAAAACAGCAACACAAGATATATGTTAAATTAACCACTGAATCCATTCCCCCGCTTTCGTCCCCACATTGTTTACTGAAAGAGAAAATGTTGTCCAAGTATGGCAAGCCATTTGTAGCAATATTCAATAACTGTATTTATTGTATTCAGTTCTTAAAATACGCACACAAACGTCAACAATTTATTGTTCAATCAAACATTCAATGTTCAATGAAATATTCAATGTTCAATCATGACACATTCAATGTTCAATCATGACACATTCAATGTTCAATGAAACATTCAATGTTCAATCAAACATTCAATGTTCAATCAAACATTCAATGTTCAATCAAACATTCAATGTTCAATCAAACATTCAATGTTCAATCAAACATTCAATGTTCAATCAAACAATCAATGTTCAAGCAAACATTCAATGTTCAATGACACATTCAATGTTCAATCAAACATTCAATGTTCAATCATGACAAACCAGTTTATTTGATGCATGTGACCAAATATGGGAGGCCTGGGTCGAGCGTAGGAGTTTTCCCCGCCAAATGGTGTCCGCCATATTGAAATAAGACGAAAACCAGTGAACGAAAACCACAAAAACTCATAAACTGAAAATAAACTCATAAACTGAAAAGAGATAATTCAATCAATGGTATTATAAACAATCAAGCAGCGGTTGTGCCACAGTCAACCGTCTCACGCTCGACCGCCGCTAGTACAGCTAGCAGAAGCGAAGAAACAGCTGTCCGATCCGAAGTCCGATCCGAAGTCCGATCAGCAATCGGATTGTCCACCGCAATTGGCAGTAGGATTGGAAGTGCAGTCGCCTGTGCCCGATCAATTATAACAAATTCAGCATCCGGAGGTGCTTACTCCAGACTTTCTCAAAGAGAACGCTTGAGAGCTTCGACATCAGCTGCTAGTAACCAACTCACGAACAAACGACAGAAAAAAGAGAGTTCCATTGAAAAAGGTATTCGAATTTGTGTTTGCAAATATAACCGTCGAAAGTGAAAGTTGGGCAATCACTGATGAAAATATTGCACTTTGTGGACTGATTGAGACTACCACAGCAAGTAAAGAAGCAGAAATTTGTGCTGAAATTGGCAAGGCAACAAGGTTAAAATACCCTATGGTTAGTGACAGCAATTTTGAATTCCTACGAGCTACCCGGAGAAAGCTTTTGAAACTGGTCAGCTGCCAGTCGTATGATTACCAGCAAGTGAAGCTCTTAGCCAGCCAGGGATCGATTTATGTGAAACTCAAAGATGGCCTTGAATGTTTGTTGGTTGACGACTCCTGTGATGATGAAGATACTGTGTTTAGAAATGAAATGTTAAATCTTAACTACACTATGATGTACAAATATGAATACTGGAGGGTAGGACTTTTCACACCAGTTGAAATAATCCAACAAGGCTTCTCCCTCCCCCCCAAAAAAATTTCCGCATCGACGATGTGTTTCCGTAGCAAACTTGACTATTATTTGAATATTTTTCTGAGAGAGACAGTTACAATAAAGTTTCTGTACTAGTGTAATAATTTCGCGAAATGTTTTGATGGTCGGAACAGTTGCTGTCACCACCCACCCCCACCCTCTGTCGACACAAAATGGAACTACTGGGACCGATTTCAAGGAGTAACTAATGCATGAGTCAATTCCAGGAGTAACCATCCCCCCGGAACACACCCGGTCATTAGATTTGATTGGATACGACAGTGTAAATGCCCAGTTGCCGGGACACAACTTGAAGACTAATGCACGGCCCTTGGGCAAGCTGAAAGTGGAAAATGTCCCACCTGGGGACGATTTTAAACGTTAATTAAACTTTTTTTAATGGCATATAATACCATAGTCATAAAACATAGCATAGTATTAAACTGCTATGGTTTATTATAACACTTTAATATAAACTTGGATCTTGCTAAGAGTGGTTAAAAGTATTAAACAATGAAATCATAAACCTTCAATATTAAATTTGCACGGCACAGGTTATAATTTTCGCTTATTCTGACAATAAATTTTACGCCACCTTGACCATGAGGGCGCAAAATATGATCAGCGTGCCCACTTGTGTGCCTGAAACTAGGTTTTGCTGCCTTAAAATTTGTGGATGGAATTCTGGGCAACCATTTGTCAAATCCCCAGGGTCCTTAGCAACTATAACAATTCCCGGCCCCTGTGCACGTACATGAAATGATGAAAGGCAAATTCCCGACCCCTGTGAACAGTCTATCAGCCAAATTCCC